ACTGGTGGCATTTACGCTTTGCTGAGCTTACCAAAATCTCGCAGTTTCTACGTTGAATTTTGTATATATATTTTTAGCGCTAGCATAAAAACTCGATAACTTAAAATCCTATCGTTACAATACTGTTCAAATTTCTAGATATTTCTTTGCTGGAAAAGCTGTGAGATTTCCGAAGCTGTCGACCCAAAACTTGCCCTCTTCACAGCGGTTCATGGTTTAGCAGTCGTCAACCTTATTAGAATATGAGTCACTGACAATGAGAGAATTCCAAAATTTGTCCTTGGCCATTTTGAGACCCCCATTGTGTTGTCTAACTTAGGTAAAATCACAATGAACTCTGTGAACTGGCTAAAATAAAAGTCTTGATAAAAGAACTAGTGTTAAGTAAAGTAATGCGACATAAATTGTTGACCATTTTAACCTGGACAATCCTCGGCCGATGAACCTCACAGTTCTTTTCTAAAAGAAAAAGTTATACAAAAATACATGTAGTTTTGTTTCTTTTCTATGTCCACGATTTGCAAACTATGCCATCAGTAACAGAAACAATTTTTAACATTTTACCTTTGCTTTGCCGTCGACTTTTTTGGTTGTTTGTATAATTATGATTTTTCTTTTTCTTTTAGACTTCCACAGTTTATGAAAGTAAAGTTTACGGTAACTTAACAGTATTAACGGTACTTACACTTCTAAACGAGTACGTCATGTGACCTTGGGAGGCTCACAAGTTGACGTCTCCGGTTCCGTTTTTCAAAACAATTATTGGGGTATGCTGTTTATAGAGCGTTAATGGACACCTTACCTAACAACTACAAAGACCCGGTTGGAAAATATCCTTCGCAGACCACCTGGACGAAAACCAATTACGTAGCCTATAAATGTTTTAGGTGTCTTAAGTCACTTATCTAATAATTAACTGATACTGGCTTTATATCACATTTTCGTTAATGTGGTTTTCATAAGCCATTTGGCGAATTTCAACTGCACAAAAATGATGTTTTTCTCACCAATCAATTAAACAATTCAACAGATAGATAAACCTTGCATGGTTCAAGGGCAGAGTCCAAAACTTCAATACAAAGAATTTTGAGCATAGAAATTACTCCTGATATTAGGGCCCCTGATAATTAATAGGACCTAAATTACCAAAACTATTTGAATTTTTTTAAAATTTCCCATCAGGGTAGAATATAGACTAACTACAATATGGGGACTAACTCTGCAGAAC